TATAGGCTTAGGTTATTTTATTCTAACTAATTATTGTGTAGATGTAGGAATGATTGTGGGCCAATCATTTTACTTATTTTAAGAAACTGAATAATACATATTATTAAATTAAAGATAATTGAAAAATACCATCTATTTTCATTCTAAGGGTATTTTAGTCAACTAACATAAATTAAAAAAAAGGAAAATTGCATATTTTAATGGATAAAAAATTCTATTGATCTTAAAAATCTAATGTAGAAATGATAATTCTCCTAATTCGGAAATTCTGTAAGAATACATTTTCTGACTAATTACAAATTATGACATAATACATATTCTGATTGAAAGAACCTATTCAAGAATAAGAAAGTTTTGAGCAATGGATTAAATAATAACAACATTCTTAAAGAATATTATTAACATTATTCAAGAATAACAACATTTTTTGAGCAATGGATTGAAGAATTACACATTCGTCATTCTTAGAATTTTTGTCATATTCTATTAGAATACAATGCTAAGTAAGCCATTCTTGAAGAATATTCATTCTATAAGAATGCAATTGTCATTCTTGACATAATCAGATACTAACAGTAATAGCAACAAATACTAACAAATACTGATACAGAAACAAGTCGCTAATACCCTTTTCTTGCAGTTCTTCAAACTGCAATAGTCTTCTTTTCCATAGTTCCTTCCATCGATCTATCAAAACTCATACCCAAAGGCGGTTTCTTATTCTCTTTCCAGCTACTTCTCAACGAATACCTCATTGTGGACCCCATTTCTTTCCTCTGTACCATTGGGGTTGTCATCTTCCTTCCACTCTCAAATTTCTTGACTTCTGTTTTCTTTGCTGAATTTTCCTTTACGTTCTTGTTCATCAATTTTAGTTGAGAAAACCTTCACCGGAGGTGGAGGTTTCCGGAAGTCAAGAGGGTAATGAATCTCTCTTATTTTCCTTACTTCTCATCGATTTCCCAGCAAGCCAAACACACCACCTGTTACTAATTTTGTTCACCTCTCTTTCCTGTCAAACAAATAACTCTAAACACCCCTACAATTGCTTCTTCCTTTTTCATGTGGGGTTGTCGAACGGGTCAGAAAAGAAGAAACAAGGAGGAGTCACCGGAGCAACCCCTCACCTCCACCGCTGTTGACAATAGCCAATACTGATCACCGCATCGCTGCCTGCTTCTGTTCGTCTCTCCTTTCTGATAAGATGAAGACGAAGACTAAGGATCGAAGATCCTTTTCCCCCCATTTATAGTTGTTTGATAATCAGCCTCTTGTTTTGCTCTTTGTAATTGATTGATAATCACAGGGTACAACCTCTAAGCTTCCAAGGTGTCACCGAGCTCAATTGGATTTTCCGATGCCAATCAAGGTGGCGTGTTGATGATGAAGTCGGCGATATCCTAGGGTTATGGACGACATGCGTATTTAAAAGGGATTGATCCTAATTTAAAGGGTTAATCATTAAATTATTGAATTACCAAAATTAATTAATAGTTAACATTACTATTTTACCCCTATGTAGGTTTTTTAAATTATTGGTCCACATTAATCCCTACATCCACATAATAATTAGTTAGAATACTTGAATATATATATATATATATATATATATAAAATAAATGCATGTAAGTTAAGCAGTTTTAATCTCATACGTTTTAGTACTAGTTTCAAAAACTTTTAAGTTATTTAAAGATATCACCCATATGCATTATTAGCTTCAAATTAAGTCAAACTTTTAAGTTATTTAACTTGAAATATTAATTAGTGTAGATTGAGATATATAAATATTATTTTATCCAATATATATTATATACATATGTATGAAGGATTAATTAGTGTAGTCTGAGATATATAAGCTCACAGGGGATGAAGAGAAAATTACTTTGAGCAGTCAGCAGTTGGTCCAACATCGGGGATTCCTAGTCCTTTCGATTTGTCAATGTGACACTGCTCTCTGATATTAAGGAATCGCCTTCGGTCGTGATTCTCTAAGAGCGTCTTTAAACAATTACATATAGCGACACGGTCTTCCTTGGTTTTTCCTCTCTTGTATAAATTCTCGTGTCCACTACAACACACTTTCAATGCCTTTGGTTCCTTATTGTCAAGGAAGCCCAAGCATGGCGAAAATGCGATACCCACTGCTGGGCCTGAACACTGGCTTGCAACCATTATCGTACTCGGTGGACTTCCTTGGTTTTTCCTCTCTTGTATAAATTCTCGTGTCCACTACAACACGCTTTCAATGGCTTTGGTTCCTTATTGTCAAGGAAGCCCAAGCATGGTGAAAATGCGATACCCACCGCTGGGCCTGAACACTGGCTTGCAACCATTATCGTACTCGGTGGACTCATTAGTTTTAGTAAACAAATTGTAACAATCAATACTATACCAAGGGAACCCATTCTTTAAATTCTTCCAAACTAGCTATATACAGCCCTGGTGTTTATAACTTAACTCACTAGTTTGAAAATAGTCCTTATATAGAGACTTGAATTAATTACAACCCCTAATTAATCATGAGTTTGGCATTTACTATTAATAAAATATTGTACTTAGTTTGAACCCTTCAAACATCTTTTTAAATTTCATACGAAAAGCTAACCATATATTACCTAATTTTTAGATGGCAAACGAAGAAGTACTTGAGTTAATTATTTGAGATCAATGTTGTTTGGATTTTTAATTTTGTTAATTATCACTAAAATCAATGTTCTCTAATTGAATAGGTAATCATTTGTGATAATAAAATAGTTTTCGGATGTAATTTAAACATATTCATAGATAATATAGGCTAATTGTAAAAAAGTGTTATATACTTTTGTTGGAAAATAATTGGTGATCGTGAAATTAATAATAAAAGTTGAGGGGTTCGATCGGTGTATAATCAAAAAATGATGTTTAATTTTAGGTAAAATTCTTAATTAAGAATGATATTAAATATAATGTTGGTTATTATCTTCTATTTAATTATCTGAATTGTGTTTTAATGCCGATTTAATTATTGGTTATGGTTTTTATGTTATAAATTCAACATTTCTCCAACCAAAAGTTAGACTCAATCATATATTTTTCTCCCTCTATTATTGTGTTTTTTTCTACTGGAAAGGTAATATCCAAGCTTAAAAAAGGTTTGTGTGGCCTCGAAGAGCCGTTACTAGCTGTTGAATCCAAGGAAACAAATGCCTTATGGACAAATTTGTTTTAATGACACAGTGTTAAACATATGCCTCAACAACCTTTTAATTTCTTGATTGTTTTCGTAATATTTTTTGTTGCATGCAAATGATCTGGCTAATGTATGTCGACCTTGAAATTGATCAGGTGATTGTTTAAGAAATATAATGTAATACATGATTAAAAATCTATAAACAAAGGATGTCCATGGACACCTCTACAAACATGTCTATATATGAGGTAGAATCGTTGCTATTTTATATATGAGGTAGAATCGTTGCTATTTATATAGCCAACGTCATGCGAACATGTTTCATAATAATCATTATAACGGGTTAATAAAAAACCTTTTTTGCAACTAACCAAGCTTTATATTTGTATATTTTTTTTCCCAAGGCTGACCTATAGAGTGTCCCGAGGGGTCCCATGCAATTACTCAATTTTTTCGTATTGGTGTAAAAAATTATTATTTTTTTATTAGTATACACCTACAAAATTTTATATGTATATATACATGTTCCATGGGTTATAGAGAATAATAGAGTCGTGGTCAGGTAGTTAAGACGTTGGGGTAATAAACAACAAGTTGCAAGTTCGAAACAAGCTGCTAACATTTCCTTCACTTTATTTTGGTAGCCACTTTAATAGTGTCCCACATCCCCCATGGTTTAAAACTAAGCCTAATATCATCTACTGACTACTATATAAGCATAAATCATCATCTTTCTTTATTTAAGCTATAACTTTGAGTCCCAAATCGTTTGTGGGATCAAAACATGAGCCGTCTTCTACTTTATATAAATATGACCATTGAGGTGGTTTAAAAAAATAGTTTGAGGTTTATTTTTGTTGGGATACATATTTGTATAGATTTGATGATGCAAAATATATACATTATAGTTATAGTTTATCTTCTCATTGTAGACAGTCAATCTTGTCTAATTAAGTGTAAATAATATAACTTAGACAAGCCGATATGTCCGAGTTTGTTTAGTTAGATAATATGAAGATATGATGATGGAAGTTAATATGTCGAAGTGTAACACCCGGATCCCGAGGTACTTCAAAATTTTCCAAATTTTGGCATTTTAAGGTTTCCCACGCATGAGTGCAACATTCTCTTACACATCAATACCAAGAATCATCCAGTCAAATCATTCTCTTTTACATTCTTATTGTTCTTAAATCACTTTACGTTGTTCATACTTCTTAATCATTTAAATCTTGAATACTTTGTTGAATATCTCTATTTCGAGACAAAACTGGTTTACCAGAGTTGACTGGATCTTTATTAGCAGCAGACATTGATCTTAAGTTAATTTAATGTTTGAGTTTTCAAACCTTGTCCGTTCAGATCGTTCTTTGCTTTCACAATTGGAATCAGAGCCTAAGTGGTTGTCCTTTGAATCCATAAGAACAAATTATAGTTGGTTGAATATTACCTTGGTATCTTAATCATTTATATGTTCAGGATAAAAGTTCTTCTATATACCACTTCAACTCTAATATCTTAACTTCAATGGCTGCTTCTAATCAAACTCAACAAACGTATTCAATGCAAATAGCAAATAGTATGGGTTGCCCAACGTGTGCCCCATTGCTAGTTGATACATCAAATTTTTCATTAAGTGCTTGCACTTCCTTAATTATACTTGGTGATCATAGTCGTCTTAGCACGTTGATATTCTTGGGGTTTTCCTTTATTCCTTCTTTTGTAAGCATGTGTACTAGGAACTTGCCCTATTCTGCTCCGAAAAGGCATTTTACTCTGTTTAATTTCATATGGACTTCTCTTAGGCTGTTGAACGTTTCTATTATGTCGCTTAAGAAGGAATGGTCATTCTTGATTTTTATGACCATATTGTCCACATACACCTCAATATTTATGCCTATTTACGATGCAAATATTTTATCTGCCAATCTTGGATACGTTGCTCCTGTGTTATTCAGTCGAAATGGCATCTTTGTATAGTAAAATGTCCCTCTATCTGTGTGGAAATATGTTTTCTCTTCATCGATTTCTTGAAGTGGGTAACAATCTTTCGGTCATACTTTATTCAGGTGTGTTAAGTCAACACTCATTATCCATTTTTTGTTGCCTTATTTCACTAAGACTGGATTAACCACCCAAGATAGGAATAAAGATTCCCGAACTATGCTTGAATTAACTATTTTATTGACTTCATCATTTATGGCTTTGTTGCGTTCCCCAAATTTACTGGTTTGCCATTGATTCTATGGTCAGTAACTTTTCTTGGTACTCCCACCATGTCTGCTGGTTGTCAAGCAAATACATCAACATATTAGTTAACCAGACTTTCTCGGAGTGTGGTTGGTAATGTACATCCTATGTGAATTTCTTGGTCGGTGTACATGCTATTTATCACAATGATTTTTGATTTGTCTGGATTATCAGCTTGCTCTTTCTTAATGTTGACATTTTCTTCCACTATCAGTGTTAATGTTGATATTACTAGTGGTTTACTATAAATTATGTCATATCCCATTGCTGTCTTAAAACTGATTAGTTCGTGTATCATTGAGGCAATTACTTCAAACTGTTTCATGGCACTTTTTCCAAATATTATTTATACGTTGATAGAGATTGTACAATTGTAAAATCTATTGTTTGTATGTTTTTTGCATGTATTTGATGATCCTGTAAGGTTAACGACAAATATATTACTCCTTGTGGCCATACTGAGTGTCCTGCGAAGCTTGTCAGTTGTGACTTAGATTCTTTCAATAATTTTCTCATTTCCTCTGGTACTTTTTTAAATCAATGCGCACACATGATTTTCATGGAACTAACACTGTCGCATTATATTCGGTGGATAAATATAGCTGGATATGGTCGAATATTAGGATTGGTTCGTATCCCCTTATTAGTCGTTGTTGCTTGCGTTGCTTAGTAGATAACTCATCTAAGTTTTCTTGGTCCTTCTCTTTATTGCATGTTTATACCTTTTTTTTTATCATTTTCTTTCCTTGAAGAATCATGTCGTCCTGTTCCATGACGTTTATATGAGGGTATTTTCTTCTTATGTCAATTGCAATTGTGTTGTTGTCACAAACAATTTCGAGGTGCCGTTTTTAGTATGCTGGTTTTGTGATGGCTCTGTTTGTCACACGCCAAAACCAGACGGCGGAAATGTTCGGGGATGGATGACTTCATTTGTAGTATCACAATGTCACACCCCAAAACCGGAACGACAGAAACGTCCTGGGGTGGAGGACGTCATGTACAGTATCACAACAAAGCATAATAATAAACAAGCAACAACATCCATTGCATTAATAGAATAATTTTAATACAAGCGTGTTCTGTATAGTATGTAAGACACCAAAATGAATGATCAAAAGTAAAAGATGAGTCTTGTATGTGCTCCATCTTCTCAAAAGCTTCATCGGTACCTGTCTACTAATGACATGAGAATACAAGTTATTTTGAAAGAGTTTATCAGCATTAACGCTGGTGAGTTCATAAGTATTTAGTGTCTTTGCCTGTATGAAAATGTTTGTAATCAACGTAGTATAAATGTTCATGGTTGTTCGTAATTGTTTTGTAAATAGTTGAACACTCTAGAAAATCCTATATTTTCTACTGAAATGTAGTCTTATACCAAGACGCGACTGTTTGTATGCTTGTTCTTTGGTAAATGTAAGAGTTTTTCCCAGCGAAACTATCATTATGAAAATATAGTTTACTTAAATGTGTATGTGACAAGATCACAAAGTAAATGTCATAGGAAAATAATGTTTTATCTCAGCAGTGACACTGCTGATCATAAAGTGATGAATTACAGACTCCAGGCAGTACTAAATGTACAGTACACCTCGGGGAGCCTAAAGAAATGAAATTCAGACTCCAAGTAGTATTAAATGTACAATACACCTCGGGGAGTCCCTTTACCTTTAATTCTTAGTTAGTTAATTAATGGTTTGAATGTGAACTCGTATGTAACCATGCTGATCGACAGCTGAATAACTAATGACCCTCCAGTGTCATATGTAGTGAGGTAACATTCTGTCACCCCTTGGCCTTATCGGCTGGGACTGTAGCTAGAAGTCAGGGTGTGGGAGTGTGTGTCCCGTATAGATCTAGACACACAATGCCCGCTCTCCCTCCAGGAGACTCTGGTTACAAAGTGATACAACAATACAATGTCGTATGGAGAAGTAGTATGTCACATTCTGATTATTGTATTCAAAAGTTTTGTATAGTAGTCATAGTATAGTAATGTTTTCTTTGTACTAGTGTATACTATATC